GAAGAGGCAGAGGGATTTGGGGAGACAGCTCCAATAAGCAGCAGGAAAAGTGACCTGAAAGTTCAACCGCTGATGTTTGGCGAGGGACATGGAGCAGAGTTGCAGGAGATCTCAGAGGAGATCAATCCTTTGGGCGATAAGGAACAGGTTGCGTTTACTTTGAACTGCGGCAGCTAATCTGTCTAATCGGTGCCAGCTGCGGCCCACATACAGGGCTGAGGTAAATGATTAACTGGTTTGTTTTGGGCCCAGTTAATCAGTTGGAACACCCAGCTCTTCTTCCACAGCATACACAGTCACTCCAGTTACAGTACATATTGTGAAGGACTTTGAGACGTCTCAATGACATGCTAAGGTGCTATATCAAATGCAAGGATTATTATATTATTATTATTACTCCCCAAAAATCAATCGCCAAAGATCTTCTATCCTTCAAATCGCTCAACTGATGTCTCCCCTATGGATTTCTGAGACAGATGGAAATGTGGAGTCCTGTAGCTCAGTGGTTAGAGCACTCGCCTCACAAGCGAGAGATCTGGGTTTGATTCCTGGGCAGAACGAAATGTTGGGCAAGTTTTCTTGCTCCACACGCCTCTGTTTAACGAGCAATAAGTAGGAACCTGGTTGTTAGTCGATTGATGGATCGTTAATAACTTCTTAAAAAAAATTGGTCAATTCAATCCACATCTGTGGGACATTGCTATGAGCAATTGGCTGTCACGTTTCGCCCACAAAATATACAGTCAATTCACGTTACAATATTCTGTGAAGCACTTTGAGATGTCTCGAAGACATGATAACAACAACAACAAGATTATATTTGTATAGCGCCTTTCACGTCGGCGCTGGACAGTGTACAGAATTTCAGACCCGAGCTGGGGTCAGAGGGGGAGAAGGGAGTGTAGGAGAAGGGGGTGACCGATGGCATGGTCGAAGAGGAGGGTTTTGAGGCGGGACTTCAAGGAGGCTAAGGAGGGGAGTGATTGGGGTATGGAATTCCAGAGGTTGGGGGAAGAGCTGGCACAGACTCAATGGGCCGAATGGCCTCCTTCTGTGACGTAACATTCTATGAATCTATGAAGGCTCTCACGCCAATGGTGGGGTGGAGACATGGCGCAGGCCGGAGCCAGCTGAGCGGAGGGAGCGAGCGGGTTGGTAGGGGATTAGGCTCTATATCAAATGCAAGGATTATTTTTTAATTAAATGGGATACACGGTTCAACAACAACAACAACAAGAACAAGATTTCATTTATAGAGCGCCTTTCACGTCAGGAGGACGTCCCAAGGCGCTGGACAGTTGGGTCAGGACCCGAGCATTGGGGGGAAATGGTCAGGGTGAGGGGAGGGAAGGGAGGAGGCGAGGAGGGGTGAAATGGTCAGGGTGAGGGGAGGGAAGGGAGGGAGCGAGGAGGGGGTAGAGAGTCGAGAGGGGAGCTGAAGGCGCGGTCAAAGAGAAAGGTCTTGAGACCGGCCTTGAAGGAGGAAAGGGAGGAGGCGGCGAAGGCACTGGGGGATGGAGTTCCAGAGCCTCGGGGCTGAGAGGCTGAAGGCCACCGATAGTAGGGCGGTTGGGGCGGGGGATGTGGAGCAGACCGGAGCCAGAGGAACAGAGGGTACGGGCAGATAAGTAGGGGGATAGTAGGTTGGAGAGGTAGGAGGGAGCGCGGCCGTGAATGGCCTTGTAGGTGAGGATGAGGATCTTGAATTCGATCCTCTGGGGGATGGGGAGCCAGTGGAGGCGAGCGAGGGTGGGAGTGATGTGGGCGCGGTGTCTGGTGCGGGACAGTACACGAGCTGCAGAGTTCTGAATGACCTGCAGTGTGGAGGGAGGTGGCGGGAAGGCCGGCGAGGAGAGAGTTCCCATAGTCCGGCCTTGAGCTGATAAAGGTGTGGACCAGAGTTTCAGCAGCGTGAGGGGTGAGGTAGTGCCGTAGTCTGGCGATATTCCGGAGGTGATGGAAGGCAGTGCCAGTTGTGGCGCGGATATGAGGGAGAAAGGACAGCTCAGGGTCGAACAGAACCCCGAGGTTCCTGACCGGCTTTGAGAGGTGGAGAGTGTGGCCTTGGATGCTGATGGTGTCGGCGCCTGAGGTGCGGAGGCGCTGACGTGAGCCAATCAGGAGGTCCTCCGTTTTGCGCACGTTGAGCTGAAGAAAGTTGTCTCTCATCCAGGACTCGATGTCGGACAGACAGCTGTCAGGACATCGGGGGTCGTGGAGTTGAGGGTAGAGGAGGAAAGGTAGAGTTGGGTGTCATCTGCATACATGTGGAAGTGAACCCCATGTCTGCGGATGATGTCACCACAGGGGGAGCATATAGAGGGTGAAGAGGAGGGGACCGAGGACAGAGCCCTGAGGGACACCGCACGAGACAGTGCGGGGGCCGGAGGAAAAACCGTGTGTGGAAACAAAATGTAGACGGTGGGAGAGGTAATAATAATAATAATAATAATAATAATCCTTGCATTTGATATAGCGCTTTTCACGTCGGGAGGACATCCCAAAGCGCTTCACAGAACACACTGTAAAGTGAATTGACTATATTTGTGGGCGAATGCGGCAGCCAATTGCGCACAACAATGTCCCACAAACAGTCGTAGGTTTTGGAGGGATTATTATTAGGCTCTGTGTGGAGTAAGGAAACTTGCCCAAGGTTTCGCCCTCTGCCTGGAATTGAACTCAGGTCTCTCGCTTGCAAAGCGAGTGCTCTAACCACTGAGCTGTAGGACTCCACTCAAGGACAGGGCCTTGAAGGTTGAGGTGTGAGGACAAGCGGTGGAGGAGGATATCGTGGTCGACCGTATCAACTGCAGGCGATAGGTCGAGGAGGACGAGGAGGCAGATGGAGCCCTGATCGCAGATGGTCAGGATGTCATTGGTGACCTTGACCAGGGCAGTTTCTGTGCTATGGGCAGCACGGAAACCCGACTGAAGGGGTTTGAATAGTGAATGGTTGGAGAGGAAAGAGCGCAGATGGGAGGCGACAACTCGTTCCAGGACCTTGGCCAGGAAGGGGAGGTTGGAGATGGGCCGGTAGCTTGATAGCTGCGACACATCAAGGGAGGGTTTTTTCAAAGTGGAAGTGATGGTGGCAGTTTTTAGGGGAATGGGAGCAGAGCCAGAGGAGAGGGACAGGTTGATGATGTCTGTGAGAAGGGACAGGTTGATGATGTCTGTGAGAATTAATTACCTCCTGTGTAAAAACATACCACTTGGTGCTGATCATGAACTTGCTGTTTCGAATATGACAATTATTCTCTCACTTGTGCGAAAACAAGACTTCCCCTTCCCCTCTGTTGCGAGCCTGGTGTGACCAGCCAACCCTCTATGTGAGGACAGCTTGTCTAACCTCCCACTTAATTATGTTTGTGGTTAAATGTGACTGTTCCCAGCAAACAATTTCCCGAACAATTTCTCCCAAAGTCATAACTCAAACCGCCGACACAGCAGTGAGACCATAGAATACAGGAACCCATAAATGTGTCAACATTTCAAATATTTTCAAACGTCAACATTGTTGAAGACAATTCAGTCTCGGAGAGTCTAGGCTGAACGAAGGAGCCAATTCCTTTCTCTGTGCACTCCCTCGTGCCGTGTCCCATCCCACCCCACCTGCACGCCAGGAGGCTGTTGGCACTGTTTCCTTGTCCGTGTTTGCTCTTCCTCCAGCTCCTCCCAACCCAGTCAAACCCAACACAACCTGACCCCAACCCAGCCCCACCTAACCCCAACGCAACCCAGCCCCACCTAACCGCAACCCAACCCAGCCCCACCTAACCGCAACCCAACCCAGCCCCACCTAACCCAACCCAACCCAGCCCCACCTAACCGCAACCCAACCCAGCCCCACCTAACCCCAACCCAACCCTAACTCAGCCCAACCGAACCCCAGCCCAGCCCAAAGCCAACTCCAAGAACCTGTTCACTCTTACAGAAATTGAAAAACATCCCTCTGAACAACTAGCATGTCAAAGAGTTTCACAGGATTTGCCGTGGAGTGTGTAGTGACTGTTTTCTTCTCTAGGTAACCCAGGCATACATTTTGCGCAGATCCACATACCTCAAACACTCATGAAGAGAATGAGGTAATTTTAACATGAGGATTGTTGGTCAGGACACCAGGAGGAACTGCCTTTATTAGCCCACACATATGAGGAAGGCTGTGGGTTCAAATCCCCAGGTTGGATTTTTAACTTCACGGACCATGCTTACGTTTCAGCACCGCGTGTGTGGGGGCGCGTGGGGGGGTCCTGCATTGTCATAAACGCCGTCCTTCGGATGGGATCTTAAGCCTAAAACCAGGTGGAATTTTAGCGCTTGCCCCGTTGAGCTGTGTTTGAGCTGTCGATGCACTTGAACCTCTTGCACAAGCTAACAGTTGATCTTTCAGGAGAGACACGAGCTGATATCTCACAGCATAAGTTTTCCCCTCTAGACTTCCTCTCCACCCAGCCACACACCCAGCCACATATACACACACACAGCCTCACACACACACACACACACACACAGCCACACACTTAATGTCAGTGGTGGGCACTGGTGTGAGTGGATGAGGGAGGAAGTGCGAGGGAGAAAAAAGTTAATAATAATCCTTGCATTTAATATCGCTCCTTATCGCATCTTCAAGACGTCGCAAATCACTTCACCGAATATGCCTCAAAGTGAATTGACTGTGTATTTTGTGGATGAAATGCGACACTTTTTCCCCCTCGGAAACTTCGGAGCCCGGCAGATTTTTAGTAAACTCTCAAACTTAGCCTTAACTTGGAAGGCGAATGCGGTGAAAGGGTTTCTTTTGAAAGAAAAACAACAAAGAAACAGAGAGGGGGCGAGAGAGAAAACATCTCTCCCCAAATTGTGAGCGAAATTACATGTTAAGTCTTTAAAACCTGGATGGAATTTGGAGCTGCAAGTCCAGTTCGTTCTCACTCTGTTTCTGTCTCTCGCTTTCTCTCTCTCTCTCTCTCTGTCTCTCTTTCGCTGTGTGGTCAACTCACCCAGAAGTTGTCCCTGAAGTGTGATTCTCTCATACTGAACAAAGCTCCGTCGGATCTGCTCTGTTAGCTCCGCTGGGTGTGTTCTCTCTCCAGCACCTGCCGGTCTCGCTCACGCTCGCTCACACCGTCTTCGTACTCAGAAACTGGGGAAGCGTTGTGAAGGCACTTTGCCCGCTCCACCACCTTCGCCTGATGCTCGTCAGAGGAGAGTTTGTGCTACACAAAACTTTTAATTTTAGTTCCTTCTTGGCAGTTTGACCAATTGCCAAACCCAGACGATTCCTCTGGGTCCTCCTGCCCGCCCTGTATCAGACCAGTTAGAACCACATTAGTAATCCTTGTGTTTGATACTACCCCTTTTATCTCAGGGGGAATGTCTCACAGCGCTTGACAGGAAATCGCTGTAAGCTGTAGTGACTGTGTGTTCTTAGCGAAACGCGGCAGTCATTTTGCACTCAGAAATGTCTCACGAACAGCTATTGTCCAACACAGCAACCAATTTGTGCGTAGCGATGTGTTCACCCCACCCACACACATATACACACACATATACACACAGCCATGAAGGGGATGAGCATTTAATTGGGAGGAGTGTTGGCCAGGGCAGAGGGAGAATTGCTTAACTTTTCTTTTTCATATAGCACTGAGGGATCTTTCCCATCCACCTGACGAACACACAGCCATGGAGGGGATGAGCCATCTCGATTTAACTTCTCATGTGAAGCACGAACATCCACCTCCCCAGCACTGCACTGGAGGGTCAGCCTCGTCTGTGAGCTCAACAACAACAAATTATATTTACATACTGCCTTTCACTTTGGGAGGACTGCCAAGGCGCTGGACAGTCAAGGATTTTCACCTGATCTGGGGGGATGGCATCAGGAGGGATGGAGGGCAGGGAGGGTGGGTAGGATGGTGCCCGAAGGCGCAGTCGAAGAGGAGGGTCTTGAGACGTGCCTTGAAGGAGGCGAAGGAGGGAGCGAGGCAAAGGGACTGTGGGATGGAGCTCCAGAGGGTGCGGGGCAAAGAGGCTGAAGCCCCATCCACTGATGGTGGGGCAGGTTGGTCAGGGGACGCGGTGCAGAGGGAGTGGGCAGGGTTAGCAGGTCACAGAGGTTGGAAGGAGCACAGCTTTGAAGGCGAGGTCGAGGATTTTGAACACTATCCTCTGGAGGATGGGGAGCCAGTGGAGGGTGCGGGTGATGGGGTCACGGAGTCTGGTGCTGGAGAGGTTACAAACTGCAGAGTTCTGAATAATCTACGGCTTGTGGAGGAAAGAGTTGGGGAGGCCAACAAACAGGGGAGTAATCAGAGCTAGAGGCAGTAATCCTTCTCCTTTGTGGTCAGTGTGCCATGTTTTGCAATCATATAAACTCCACGGGCACAAGAGAACTTGCCAAATGGGGAACTGAATGGGACGTAGTAATGGTGTCATCACTCAGCACAATGATTAATATAAGCCAGAACCCCCATTGGCAAATTATGTCAGCTCTGGTTCCCAGAAAACGTGCTCAGACTGTACAAAGTGCAGACTGTACACTGATTAGTACACAACACATGCCCTAGAGAGAGAGGAGAGCAATGATGATATTAGTGGGATGATGTGCGAGAAACAATTCTTACTCAATTCTTACTCAATTTAGGCCTCTTCAGTTTTGAAAAGACACATCTCCGAGATGGCTGTACAGAATCATAGAATCTTACAGCACAGAAGGAGGCCATTCGGTGCCTGTGCTGGCTATATCTGTGCTGGCTCTTTGAAAGAGCTACCAATTAGCACCCCTTCGAGCAGCACATTCCAGACCGTAACAACTCTCTGCTTAAAGCAAATTTTCCTCTTATCCCCTTTTTTTTGCATAGAGTTGCAAATGGCAATTTCAGGACGGACTCCAGGAGTTATTGTGCCTTGCGCCTTGGGACGTCCTCCCGACGTGAAAGGCGCTCTATAAATGAAATCTTGTTGTTGTTGTCTTTATCCAGAGGGTAACTAGTAACGAACAGGAAGAGTGATTGATCTCAGGACACTGGGCCATGTTTAACGCTGTATGCTGTTTACAGCTTGATGCTGAAGGGTGGGTGTTCTGGCCGGATGAGATCAAATGGGCCGAAAGGTCGTCTTGATCCAAACCCAAACTTATATGTAAGAAGCTAAATATCGTTGAGAAAGTAAACTCAATGCTTTCAGATACTCCAAGGCAGCAGAACAAGAGAGCAAAACACAGGTTAGAGATCGAGTAAAGCTCTCTCTACACTGTCCATCTACACTCTCAGGTCAGGATTAGAGACAGACAGAGTAAAGCTCCCACTACACTATCCATCCGCACTCCGTCAGGATTAGAAACACATTGAAGCTCCCTCTACATTGTACACTGTCTGCCCGCACTTCCAGATCAGCAAGAGTACAGGTCAAATTCTGAGCAGATCTCCCTTCCATTGGGTTGACGACAGATACCAGGAACTCCCTATGAGCTTCCTGGTGAGCAGCACAGCTCATACCAAAATAATAATAATCCTTGCATTTATTTGTGGAGTCCCGTAGCTCAGTGGTTAGGAGCACTCGCTTTGCAAGTGAGAGACCTGAGTTCAATTCCAGGCAGAGGGAAACCTTGGGCAAGTTTCCTTACTCCACACAGAGCCTAATAATAATCCCTCAAAAACCAAAAACAATAATAAATTGGTCATTTTCAATCTACGACTGTTTGTGGGACATTGCTGTGCGCAATTGGCTGCCGCGTTCGCCCACAAATATACAGTCAATTCACTTTACAGTCTGTTCTGTGAAGCGCTTTGGGACGTCCTCCCGACGTGAAAAGCGCTATATCAAATGCAAGGATTATTATTATTATTGCATTTGATATAGTATCTTATCACGACATTGAGATGTCTGTTGTTGGTCATGGTAGAAAAAACTTTGTGAACACCCTGTACGCTACAGGAAATATGACCCAGCAGAACCAACCCTAATTGGCAAACATCAATGTATAAATTGGTGTTGAAATGTGCCCTTCACACCAAAATAGCATGCAGCAAATTATTGTAAACTCACTGAGCTTGAACAATACACAGAGGCTGTCTGGTGCATGGATTTCAACTAGTATTTCAGTCACCTCCGAAACTCTCTCTGCCTTTCACTATCATCTTATGTTTCAATATATGTCTGTGTGTGTGTCTGACATTCAGACTATTTGGGCCTTCAATCCACAACCTCCGGACTTAGAGGTGAGAGAGTGCACCTGACTGAGGCCGGCTGCAATTTTAGACATTTTAGAACTGTATTTTCTGATAACTTCAATTTTAGTAACTTCAATAGTGTGAGAGCTGAGAGACCCACCTCGATTCCAACACAACCAGGGCTTTGGGAGAGGTGCTCGACATTATAATGGATCTCGACTTCACTTGCCTTGCCAGGGACTGTACGTTTCGCCAGATGATACCAAATACTCCCTATTTAATCTGGTGTCATATCCGTACACGTACACACTGTGAAAAGGTAATGTCATAATAATAATAATCCTTGCATTTGATATAGGGCCTTACCACGTCTGCGAGACATCTGAAAGCTCTTCACAGAATTCACTGTAAAGTGAGGTGACTGTGTGTTTTGTGGGCAAAACGCGGCAGCCAATTGTACACAGCAGCGTCCCACAAACAGTCGTGGATTGAGTGACCAAATTATTATTTTTTTTTGAAGGGATTATTACCCCTGGAAAAGCGATCAATTTAACAACCGGGTTCCGGCTTACTGCTCGATAAACAGAGGCGTGTGGAGTAAGGAAACAGTGGTTGATTTACTTCAAGACCAGGAAAATCTGCAAACCTTAAATTGTCACTTGATCTATTACTGCCTTTCTGGCTCGGGGACCACTGCTCAACACGAATATTGTACGTCTCTCAGTTTCCTGTGTTAAGGTTTCAGACCAGCGGATGTGAGAAAGGCTGAGCTGAGAATGATGGACGAGGGGAGGCTTAGCCAACAAATGTTCTAGATTAAAACCATATAGCTGGCCATTGATATCACTGTCCGACAAGCTTTCCCGCTGATTGTCCGGCTGGGACCACCCTACCTTGTTAGGGCTTTGGTTTGCGGTGTTATCAGGAGCTGAGTGGGAGGATTCCCTGTCCCCAGTGACTGGTCTGCCCTCCAAATCTTAATACAAAATACAGTCCCTACACTTTCATAGTAAATCATGTGAAACACAATATCAAATACAAGGATTTAGAAGGATTATCAAGAACTTGGGAGATCTGTGCTCTCCTTGGACAGAGAAGCCTGCCGTCTCCCTCTAGTGGCATAAACACTGGTCACCTGCAGTTTTATTTGCCAGATAAAAAATGTTGTTGAGATACATGAAAACAAAAACAGAAGTCGCTCAGCCGGTCAGGCAGCATCTATAGAGAAAGGAAAGTGAGTCAACGTTTTGGGTCCATGACCCTTTGTCAGAAATGGGGCAAGTTCATAGGGAGAGGCTTTTAAGGGCTAACAGAGAGGGAGGAGGCAGGGCAAGGAATCATAGAATCATAAATCGTACAGCACAAAAAGAGGCCATTTGGCCCATCGAGTCCGTTACGGCTCTTTAAAAAGACCAATGTAATGTCAATCCCACTCCCCAGCCCTTTCCCCATAACCTGCAAACCCGTCCTCCTCAAATACCCGTCCACCGCGTTTTTAAAAATAGTTATCGAATCGGCCTCGACCGCCCTTTCAGGCAATGGGTTCCAGATTCGAACAACTCGCTGCGTGAAAAAAATTCTTCTCACCTTCCCTCGGCTTCTTTTAGAGACTATTTTAAATCTGTGACCTCGAGTCACCGACACACCCACCAGTGGAAACAGCTTTTCCTTTCTAACCCATCAAATCCCCTCATGATTTTGAAGACCTCTATTAGGTCTCCTCGTAACCTTCTCTGCTCCAATGAGAATAATCCCGGCCTCTCTCGCCTTTCCTCATCACGGTCCCTCATTCCTGGTCCCATCCTCATAAATCTCCTCTGTACCCTTTCCAATGCCTTAACATCCTTCCTATAGTGTGGGGCCCAGAACTGGGGCAGTATTCTAACTGAGGCCTAACCAGTGTTTATATGGGTTAATCATAACCTCCTGACTCTTGTACTCTATGCCCCTATTTATAAAGCCCAGTATCCCATATGCCCTTTTTACAGCCTTATCTCCCTGTCCTGCCACCTTCAAGGATTCATTTACCTGCCCCCCAGGTCTCTCTGTTCTTTTACCCCCTTAAGATTGTATTACCGCCTATATTGCCCCTCATTCTTTCTACCAAAATGAATTACCTCACATTTCTCCACATTGAAACTCATCTGCCATGTGTCACCCATTTTACCATCTGTCTATGTCTTCCTGCAGTCGGCTCCTATCCTTCTCACTGTTTACCCCCTCCCTAACTTTGTGTCGTCCGCAAACTTGGAAATGGTACTTGCTATACCCAAGTCCATATCATTTATGTATATTAAGAAGAGCAGTGGTCCTAATACCGATCCCTGGGGGACACCACTGTCCCTCCAGTCAGAAAAGCAGCCGTTCACCACAACTCTCTGCTTTCTTACAAGTCTTTCATGTGGCCCTTTGTCAACTGCCTTTTGAAAGTCCATATAAACTACATCAACTGCACTACCTTTATCCCCTCTCCGTTATCTGGAGTCCTGTAGCTCAGTGGTTAGAGCACTCGCTTTGCAAGTGAGAGACCTGAGTTCAATTCCAGGCAGAGGGCCAAACCTTGGGCAAGTTTCCTTACTCCACACAGAGCCTAATAATAATCCCTCCAAAACCAAAAACAATAATAAATTGGTCATTTTCAATCTACGACTGTTTGTGGGACATTGCTGTGCGCAATTGGCTGCCGCGTTCGCCCACAAATATACAGTCAATTCACTTTACAGTCTGTTCTGTGAAGCGCTTTGGGACGTCCTCCCGACGTGAAAAGCGCTATATCAAATGCAAGGATCATTATTATTACCTCATCGAAAAATTCTATTAGATTTGTTAGACAAGATTTGCCTTTAACAAATCCGTGTTGGCTGTCCCTAATTAACCCATATTCTTCGAAGTGAAGATTTATTCTGTCCCGGATTGTAGTCTCCAGGAGTTTCCCCACTACTGATGTTAGGCTGACTGGCCTGGAGTTCCCAGGTTTGTCCTCCTGTCCCTTTTTGTACAGGGGAAGACAAATGAGAAAATGGGGTAGACAATGGGGGATGATGGGTTAAGATGGTGTTAATGATGCAGAACACAGGTGGGGTGGGGGGGGGGAATTGCAGCAATAATCCCAGTCTCTTTGCCTCACTCGCTCTCTTCAATGGTGGGATGGTCTGGGCACATGGAGCAGGGCGAGGCCGCTGCGAGTGGGAAGCCATCAGGTTGGTACAGACAAGTCAAGGCGATTGCAACAGGAAGGTTATTTTTAACGTCTTGAGAATTAAATTCAGTCATAATTTGGACGCCTGTTTTCTGCAGATCTTATAACCTCACAATTAAGTCTAAATTTAAATTACCACAATTCTGACCATCTAAATCAAAATGGTCTGAGCCCGAGACTGGAATTTCAGGCCTGTGATGCAATGACGTATGAAGTCCAGGCACATAGCTGGACATGGAAAGGGGAAGCCTTACTCTGCATGTGGAGCACCACACTGGAGCCTCAGCTAATTCCCTCACTGTGATTTAGGTAGTGGTAAACAGCGAGTAGTAGCCAACTTCAGGAAGACATAGACAGATGGTAAAAAGGGTGACACGTGGCAGATGAGTTTCAATGTGAAGAAATGTGAGGTAATGCATTTTGGTATAAAGAATGAGGGGTAATATAGGCCGGTAATACAATCTTAAGGGGGGTAAAGGAACAGAGAGACCTGGGGGGGCAGGTAAATGAATCCTTGAAGGTGGCAGGACAGGGAGATAAGGCTGTAAAAAGGGCATATGGGATACTGGGCTTTATAAATAGGGGCATAGAGTACAAGAGTCAGGAGGTTATGATTAACCCATATAAACACTGATTAGGCCTCAGTTAGAATACTGCCCCAGTTCTGGGCCCCACACTATAGGAAGGATGTTAAGGCATTGGAAAGGGTACAGAGGAGATTTACGAGGATGGGACCAGGAATGAGGGACCGTGATGATGAGGAAAGGTGAGAGAGGCCGGGATTATCCTCATTGGAGCAGAGAAGGTTACGAGGACCTAATAGAGGTCTTCAAAATCATGAGGGGATTTGATGGGTTAGAAAGGGAAAAACTGTTCCCACTGGTGGGTGTGTCGGTGACTCGAGGTCAGATTCAAAATGGTCTCCAAAAGAAGCCGAGGGGAGGAGAAGAAATTTTTTCACACAGAGAGTTGTTTGAATCTGGAACATCGCCTGAAAGGGCGGTCGAGGCCGATTCGATAACTACTTTTAAAAACACGGTGGACGGGTATTTGAGGAGTACGGGATTGCAGGTTATGGGGAAAGGGCTGAGGAGTGGATTGACATTAATTGCTCTATTCAAAGAGCCGGCACAGACTCGATGGGCCGAATGGCCTCTTCTTGTGCTGTGCAATTCTATGACTATAAATCCATCACTAATAAAATAGTCGCTATCCTTTACAATGTAGTTGTAAAGGACGTAAGTGTAGTGGTTAGAGCACTCGCTTTGCAAGTGAGAGGACCCGGGATCAATTCTGGTGGGGCAAAACCATAGACAAGTTTCCTTATTGCACACCCCTGTTTACCTAGTAGTAGGTAGGAACCCGTCTGTTAGTCAATGTTCAGGTGGCTTTCTGGGGGATAATAATCCTCCAAATTATTTTTTGGGTCTCCCACTCCATGACTGTTTGTGGAACACAGCTGTGCACAATTGGCTGCTGTGTTTCCCCCACAAAATACAGTCAATTTGCTTTGCAGTATATCCTGTGACGAGCTTCAACAACGTGAAAGGCGCTGCATCAAACGTAAGTATTATTATTGACGATCAGTGAAATAAGACGCAAAGGAAAAGCTGTTTTGGTGGAACATTTTATTCTCTGTTTAAGAGAAAAACATTTCTGTACATTTTAAACAAAAAGCACATTGGCTTTTTCTCTCCCAGCGGTTCTTACAAAGGTTTGGAGTGTGAGCAACACCAGCCACTCACACCTCGAAGGTGGCCAGGAAGTTGATTACAATCTGCTTCAATTTCGCTTCCATCTCATCACTGATATGCCCCTCATCCCTGTGGTTGGGGACAAAAAGAGCAGGATCATCTGACTATCCTCGGTGAAGTTGTCACCTGCCATCAGCCCCCAGCATTCCTGTTCTCTCCCCCATTTTCCCCCACAATTCCCCCTCATGCCAGCCACTTGAATAAAACAGTTGGGCCACAGTTGGAGCAATTATAGGAAGGATACAAAAGTAATGAAAAGGTGCAGAGTAGATTAAGCAGGAAGTTTCCAGGGAAGAGAGATTTCAATGAGGAGATGTGAGTTGTCAGGGCTTTCCCCCCGTGCCAGTGTGTGGAGTGGAGGCCAGGATTTCTTCCCCAGGCCTACCAGCCTCCAGCATTAGGTAGTATTGAAAAGATCTGCCATGCTTTACCAGAGAGTTGGTAAACAGCAGAACCTCACTCCAAACCCAGAGTTACTGGTTTTCTCTACAGAGCCATCGAACACAAATGTAATGTGTAAATGGAGTGCAAGGCGAGGGGGACATCTTCTCTAACCCACCACAACAAATGGATTTAAAAATAGAAAATAAACTAACCACAAAAATAAATTGGTTTGTAAGAAACTTCTCAGAATGAAAAATGAAGGGGGGAAACTGATTGATGTTTAAAAGTAAGAAATTGATAACCAGATAGTGGATGAGTCTTCCCTCGAGTGGAGGGATTCAAAAGATGGGGATGGGGTCTTAAAATAGGAGGTAAATGGTTAGATCAGGAAACATTTCTTCACACTAAGGTAGTGCGGATGTGACATGTACTGTCCTAGATAGACCAGAGATTAAATTGATGTTTAAGTCCTTGAAGGCAACAACAACAAGATTACATTTGAATAGCGCCTTTCATGTCGGGAGGACGTCCCAAGGCGCTGGACAGTGTACAGCATTTCAGACCCAAGCTGGGGTCAGGGTGGGGGAGAAGGGAGGGGGGTGGCCGATGGCATGATCGAAGAGGAGGGTCTTGAGGCGGGACTTGAAGGAGGCTAAGGAGAGGGCGAGGCGGAGTGATTGGGGAATGGAATTCCACTTAAATAAGGGGATTAAAAGGCAAGGAGAAATAGCCAGGGAAAGAAATGTCTTTAGATAAGATTGTAAATGGGATTGAGAAGGTAAACTCAGTTTTCAATTTCAGATGGACCAAGTCAGCAGAACAAGAGAACATAGGCTTACAACCGCACCTGCAAGAGGCAAAATCAGGACAGACACCAGGAAGTATCTCTTTATCAAGAGGGTAACTGACGACTGGATCAGGTTACTAGCAAATGGGGTTGATTAAAAAAAACGCAGCTTGAAGCTGATAAGGAAGGAACCTCTTGTGAAATGAGACCAAAGATCTGCCATGATTTACTAGAAGGCTTGATGGCTGAATTGACGCTTGCTCCCATTGACCAGCCCTTGACCTGAGACATTATGAACATCCCCCCCTTCCCCCCCCTCACAGTGTCACTCAGGACTGACTGACTTACCGGATGGTGTTGAGCAGGTCTTGGTGCTGGGTCTTCATGTGGGACAGGTATGCCGTCTCAAACCTGGTGATCTTGGAGGGCTCCAGCTTGTCCAAGTGACCTCTGACACCAGCATAAATAACTGCAACCTGCTCCTCAATAGCCATGGGCGCTGAAATACAACCACAGTTAGGTTTGTCTTATTGGAGTAGAGCAGATTTAGGTTAATGGGAGTCCACACATGGGTCAGTAGAACAAGAGGACCACAGGTTCAGAGTTGCAAAGAGTAATTTTCTGCAAGACACCAGGAAATGTTTCTTTACCCAAAGAGTAATTAACAACTAGAATAGTTTACCAGGAGGGAGGGGGGTTGGTGGTGGAGAGGGGGGAGGGGGTTTGGGTGGTGAGGTCAGGACAATGGGACTCATTTAAAAAACAGCTTGATGCTGCAATGATGGGAAAACGGTGGAAAGGGTGGGTTCTGGAAGGATGAAATTAAATTTTTCATTCAAACCAATCTTGTGACGTCTTCAAGATCGCAAAGGATCAAAAAAGGTAAACGCTAAATATATTTTAATTGTCAGATTAACTTTCAGTGCCAGTTGGGAGTCCTCACAACTCAAAAATTGTGGTCCAAGTCGGTCAGAGTCTGAGCTCACAGCCCAGGCATAGTACAGTGTAACGATGCTGAGCTGCATTGTTAAGATGCCACATCCTCTGGACCAGATATTGAATTGATGACGTCTGCCCATGCAGGTAGATGGTAGAGATCACACCACACTACTGGAGAAGAGGAGGGAGTTTCTCCCAACAATCCTCCAGATAAATCGGTCAATCACTTCATGTCTGTGTGTAAATTGACCGCTAAGTTTGGCTAAAAAGTCATTTAACTTAACAGTAACACTGAGAAATAGCTGCAACAATTAGACTGGTCAGCGAATCACCAGTTAGATAAGGGTACATGGATTTACATAGTGCCCCTCATACAGGGTAGAGTCTCAGAGTGCTTGACAGTGGGGAAGCATGACACTGATCCAGGGGGAGTCAGTATTAGTGTGGTGACAGATTTAGAATCAAAATCATAGAATATTACGCACAGAAGGAGGCCATTCAGCCCATCGTGCCTGTGCTGGCTCTTTGGAAGAGATAACCAATTAGTCCGACTCCTCCGCTCTTTCACCATATCCTTGCAAATTTTTCCTTTTCAAGTACCCATCTAATCCCCCTGTAACAGTTGTTATTGAATTGGTTTCCACCATCCTCTCAGGTAATTACAAAGTGAAATTAAAGGGTATAGCAGCAGAGAGAGCCCGTCACTCACTGTACTGTCCCTGTTTGAGCAGCTCTGTCAGACGGACTCCGCGGTTCAGCAGCTGCTGTGTGGCGGCGTCCAGGTCTGAGCCGAACTGGGCAAAGGCTGCCACCTCCCGGAACTGTGCCAACTCCAGCTTCATTGTGCCAGCCACCTGTAATACAGAAAAGCTGGTTAGTCAGGACAGGCACTGCACACGTCTTCTCCTCCGGTGTCCGATGACTCGGGCTCTGTAACTCCGTGGCTTGAAGCTTTCCTACCCAGAGACTGCAAACAAATTCTCCCTCCCATGTTTCGCCCAAACTATGGCTTCCGCGGGGAGGTAAAAGTACCCTGTAGGCTGCAGGAAAGAATCTACTGGTTATTGGAAAGGATCTGGTAGATAGTCGTGACAGGGAAAGGTCCCCACTGCATTTGGGAGCTCCATTATCCTCAACCAAACATCCTCAACTCAGTAGGATGTGAGGGCAAGGGTTCAGGATGTGAAGAACAAGTTACTGTGATGGGAAGATAACAGTGGACATTCTGGACAGGATGAGATGGGTCAAAAGACCCCTTCACCTCAACTTTGACCTGGTAAAAAAACACTTCACAAGATAGCGATCAAAGTCTACTAACAGGACACAAAATACCAACCTGTTTCATGGCTTTGGTCTGGGCAGCAGAACCCACACGGGACACAGACAGACCCACATTGATGGCTGGACGGATACCCTTGTAAAACAACTCAGTTTCCAAGAAGATCTGGAAAAGGAGAGATTGTGCGATTAACAGAAATCAACAGTGCCTCAAAGACGACCCACATTCACATAGCACTTGCCCCATAAAGATTAATTGGAAATTAATTGAATCTTATTTAAATAAGACAGCCAAATCAAACATACATTGAATGAATGACCTTGAAATATTAACCACGAACAAATTCTTTAAAAATATTCACTATTGATCCTAGAAATGGCTCCAACTGAGGAATTCATCACTTTCCTGGATTGTAGGGAAATGGCCAGTTTGCAACATAGAAAGAGGCAAATAGAGACCATTTTGCCATTCTGTTAGCCACCAGAATGTTTCTTTTAAGTATGCATTATCCTACCTTTTCTCCATAACCCTGATTTCCTTTAGTTGACATCAACAATAGCTTGGATTTATATAGTGCCCTTCATGCAGGGTAATGTCAGAACTTACAGTGACAAAGCTTGAAGCTGATCTAAGGAGAGATTGTAGGTATGACCAAAAGAGGAAGATCTTAAGATGTGATCTGAAGATAGGGAAGGTGGGTGGAGGGAAGAGCGATTGAGGCAGAGACTTCCAGAGACAATCACAAGAGAGGCCCCGATGAAGTCCTTTCAGCCCATTTGATCTCATCCTTCTAGAATACCCACCCAACTTCATCTTTCTTTATGAAGATGAGCCCAGTGTCCTGGCCTGAAGATACATTGGTCACCACCAAATCATAACTGTGATCGTGACTTCTGTACTATAATGACAGCTGCGTTTGTCTAAACCTCAACACAACTAACTGTTCATCACTTTGCCTACAAAACAGAGCTGTTAAAGGCCATTCCAGTAACAAAGTATTGTTCACAAACTAACCATAGTTTTCTCTTCACTTCACTCCCACCCAGTTGGCAATGCTAATCTCTGTAAAAGCTCCTGAACAGATCCCTGGCAGTGGCTGGACTCACCTGGCCGTCGGTGATGGAGATGACATTGGTTGGAATGTAAGCAGACACGTCACCAGCCTGGGTCTCGATGACGGGGAGAGCAGTGAGGGAACCACCACCAAAATTGTCATTCATCTTGGCTGCTCTCTCCAGGAGCCGCGAGTGCAGGTAGAAGACGTCTCCGGGGTAGGCCTCGCGCCCTGGGGGGCGTCGCAGCAGCAGGGACATCTGACGGTATGCAACAGCCTGTAGACAATGGATACAGTCTTACTCACTGGGCTGAACCCATATCCTTCTCACACAGGAGAGTGCTACCACTGAGCTGGCTAATTAAACAAGATACCAGCACCGAGCCAATGCTAGCATGCCGGTGGCCAGGAGCTGCAATACCACTGCAAATGCAAGTTATTATTTCACACACATACAATCCAATTGTTCCAACTAGTCTATGCCAGTACTGTACACATCCCCATTCCTCCTATTCCCCTCTATTCCCTTCAACCTCCATAATTGACTCATTTCATAATCTTGAACACCTCTATCAGGCCCCCTCTCAATCATCTCAACAACAACAACAAGATTCCATTTATAAAGCGCCTTTCACGTCAGGAGGACGTCCCAAGGCGCTGCACAGTTGGGTCATGACCCGAGCAGGGGGGAAATGGTCAGGGTGAGGGGAGGGAAGGGAGGGAGCGAGGAGGGGAGAAATGGTCAGGGTGAGAGGAGGGAAGGGAGGGAGCGAGGAGGGGGGAAATGGTCAGGGTGAGGGGAGGGAAGGGAGGGAGCGAGGAGGGGGAAGAGAGTCGAGAGGGGAGCTGAAGGCCCCTAGAGAGAAAAGTTGCAGCCTTTACTTTACAACCTGTCTTGATAGCTGTATCCTGTTATCCCTGGTAACATTCCTGTAAATGTACACTGTACTCTCTGATGCCATTATAACTTCCTGTGACTTGGTGACGAGAATTATACACAGAACTCGCACTGTGGTCCAACCAAGCTTTATATAAATGCAACACTACTTCCCTACTTTAATCTGCTATTCCTCTGGATGTAATGCTATTTGTATTATTTATTGTCTTCTTCACTTGTGCTGCAACAGGGTAAAGTATTAAACAAGCAGTTCTGTCAGAGAGCAGTAACAGGAGTGAGGAGCCACACAGCCTCTGGATTGTGACACTGACCTGCTTGGACAAGTCATCGTAGATGATGAGTGCGTGTTTGCCGTTGTCTCTGAAGTACTCGCCCATGGAGCAGCCGGAGTAAGGGGCCAGATATTGCAGGGGAGCTGCGTCAGAGGCTGTGGCTGACACCACAATGGTGTACTTCATGGCATCTGTGAGAGAGTGAGGAGCACAGGTTAAAGCCAGAAACTTCTGCAGAGAAAGTCAGCTCCTGGACGATTTCTGCACAATTTTACACCTGAGGATAATAGTGAGGGATCTTCCTCTTTGCAAAGTTAAAATGCAATTAGTCCTGTGCAAATATGATCACTTAACGTCAACATCCCACACAGATAGATTGTCAGAGGTGGTGAATCCCTGTATGGTACCCACTGCAACACAAACAACTTGCACTTATATAATGCATTTTCAGTTAGAAAATCATCTCAACAACAAATTTCATTTGCATAGTACCTTCATGTCAGAAGGGCATCCCAAGGCCCTGGATAGTTAAGGGTTTGCAACAAGCTGCTGGTTGAAATCAAGAGGGGTGGAGCGTAGGGTGGGAGTGTGGCCAGTGGGTGGGGACAAGGAACAGGCCAGTGCCCACTGAATGGAGGGGGCAGGAAGGTTGCTGTAGTGTTAAGAGCTCACTGTCTGTAGTTGAGGCACAACTATAGAGGAATCTGGTGATTCTTTTTAAGAGGAATATGGGAAGAAGCAGATTCTTGAAAAGGAATATGGGGAACCTGGAGGGAAATCAAGAATAAGTGAGAGTGGAATTAGACCAGTAAACTGGTGGAGAATGGCTGAATGGGTTGTGTGTGCTATACTAGTTATTATTTTATTAGGGATTAATCATAATAATCCCTGCATTTCATAGTGTCGGGAGGATGTCTTAGAGCATCACAGTTCAGTGCAGTGATAGTTTATGTGGAATGTTTATTCCAAAGGATCTCAGGACCTACCAGCGTCAAACAGCCTCTTGACCAATTGAGCCACTGTGGATCTCTTCTGACCAATGGCCACGTAGATGCAGTACAGCTTCATCTTTTCGTTCACGCCCTCGTTGAATCGCTTCTGGTTTATGATGGTGTCCATGGCAATGCCAGTTTTACTGAAACATCCAGCAAACAACGCATGTTAAGCAGGTACAACCACAGACAGTTCCCTACCCCCCCCCATACACCAGCCTCTAGTCTCCTGCACTGAACTCCAACCTCCCATCACCACCCACCTCACCAGGTTCCCATCACTATCACTTGAAGATTTTTTCCATGACCTTTTGCCCCTCACAAACTCTGAAATCACTTCCTGCCAACTCCAGGGTGATGGTTGGGGGGGAGGGGGGGATGTTGGGGGGAGCATTGCCCTGAGGAGGTGCCATCCTTCAAACAACATTAAACCAAGCTATAGAAATATTATAAATGTTCCAGGAACAGAGAAGGGAGCTTCACCCAATCTCCTGGTCAACAATTCTGCAGGTTAACCAATTAAGTCTTATTTGTGGGATCTTATGCACAAAATGATTACCTGGCTTTCTATGAAAACAATCACTGTTAAACACTGTTGAGCTGGTTCCATGTTCAAAGTGATTCAAAAATACAAGTTCTTCCTCCTCAATCTCATAAGAACGGAAGTAGGTCATTCAGCCCCTCGAGCCTGTTCCACCATTCTATAAGATCATGGTTGATCTGAACCTTAACTCCAATTGCCTGCCCTTGTCCCATATCCCTCGATACCCTGACCTAACAAAAATCTACCTCAGTCTTGAAAATGTGAATGGATTCAGTATCCACAGCCTTTTGGAGAAGAGAGTTCCAGATTTCCACTAGCCTTTAGGTGAAAAACTGCCTCCTCATTTCACTCCTAAATGGCCTAGCTCTAATTTTATGCCCCCCTTGTTCTGGATTCCCCGGATGCTTTCTAGGCGGTGGAAGGAAGGGGATTGGGAACTTCCCATTAGCAAAAGTACAGAAGCATGGAATGGGATGAGACATGGAACAGGGAACTCAGCCAACTGAGCTCCATCTCAACGTAGTGTTCCCCTTTCTGACTCGCTACGGTAACCATCTCTGAAGCCAAGCGCTTACCCAGTCTGCCTGTCGCCAATGATGAGCTCTCGCTGCCCACGGCCAATGGGTACCAGACTATCTACAGCCTTGATTCCAGTCTGCATGGGCTCGCGCACAGAGATCCTAGGAATAATGCCAGGGGCCTTCAGCCCCACACGTCTGCGAATCTTAGCATTGAGTGGACCCTACGGGAAAAGACAAATAGACGTTACAAGTTCAGGAGGAAGAGATTAGTTGATTTACACACAGAATGAATAAGCAGCGGCCAGGTAATCTGCAAGCACTTCAACTAAGTGGTTTCAGGAAAACTCCATTCGCTTTCCTCGCTGGCCTCCATTCACAAATTCCAACTCATACAAAATTCCAGTCCAGACTCTGCTGCACATTACCTCCCAACCTTCACTGGCTCGTCCATTAAGATACTGAATTACTACTTATCTTCAGATCTAGGCCCAATGAACCTCAGCAACTTCTTGCTGCCTTGAGTTCTTGTATGTACCCTCCTCTCAGAACCTGGTCTGCCTCTCACTCCCACTCCCTTCACCCCACCATCAGTGGTCATGCTTTCAACCACTCCACCCTCACTTCCTGGTGCTCTGCCCACTTTCAGAACACCCCCCCACCCCACTCCCACCAACACACTGTTGGTGATTCCCCTTTGCTGCTTCCTCATATTCATTCTATGTTAGAGGGACAAGTTGTTTTAACCTCACATGTTGTGAAAGGGCTGGATGGGCTCCTTCAGTTATTACATTTCTATGTGATTAAGTTGCCACATTAATCGTGGTAAACGTCAGGATAAGTGGCTGGAAGCCCTCCTCACCTTTCCATCGATGACATTCCCCAGAGCATCCACAACTCGTCCCAACAGCTCCTCTCCCACTGGCACATCCACGATGGCTCCAGTCCTCTTCACAATGTCTCCTTCCTTGATCAGTTTGTCGTTGCCAAACACCACAACACCAACATTGTCTGGCTCCAAGTTCAGAGACATCCCCTGAAAGGCAACACTTCCTTCAGCACATTTTGCGGAGTATTTATATATCATCTTATTGTATCAAACTCCTTGATGGACTTCACAAGGAATTATGTAGGGAGTGATCTGTAGACCAAGACAGCAGTAATTTGCAAGATAATGTGGAAGAAGCAAATGGGAAGAGTTCCCATAGGATCTCACTAACGTCATTCTCAAGCCAACCTCAATTTGTGTATTTTAGTGGTTAGCGCGCTCATCTTGCAAGAGAGAGGATCCAGGTTCAATCCCCAGGCAGTGCAAAACCTTGGGCAGATCTCCTTCCTCCTCATGCCTTTGTTTACCTACCAATAAGTAGGAACCCGGTTGTTTGTCGATTGGTGGAACACTTTCTGCGGGGTAATAATACCCCACACACAAAAAAATATGGTCACTCGATCCACGACCATTTGTGGAACACTGCTGTGCGCAATTGGCTGCCGCGTTTCGCCCACAAAATACAGGCAATTCACTTTGCAATATGTTCTGTGAATCGCTTTGAGACGTCTCAATGATGTGATATGACACTAAATCAAATGCAAAGATTATTATTATTAATTTAATCCTGCAAAACAAAGGGGAAGCCAAACAAATGATGAGGATGTAAATACATCCAGCAGTCAGGGAGATGACACTATAGATCTTGAGAGCAGCTATTTTACTGCCCAACACCCTGAATGCAGCACGCCTAAGCAAGTTACCTTCAGGCCTGAGGAGAACTCCACCATTTCTTCTGCCTGCACATTCCTCAGACCATAGACACGGGCGATACCATCACCAATGGACAGCACGCGGCCGGTCTCCTCCAAGTTGGCAGAGGTGTCGGCTCCCAGGATCCTCTCCTCCAGGATAGAGGAGACCTCGGCAGTACCTGCAGGAAGTAAAGGAGCCCTTCACTCCACACGCAACAGACCAACGGGAGAAGTTACCTTCTCAAGCAACGTCGATAGAACATTCAGTCGTAAACACACTGAGGGCTGGTAAGTGACAGGAAATGCATGCGTGTGTGGGGGGGAGGAGGGGAGAGAAAGAAATGGTCTCCTTCAATTGAGCTTTATTAAAAACCTTGCAGCTCTGGTGTAATTATTGGTAAATTCTAACTTTAAGGGCTCCGAGACTGTGCCCTGCATGAAAGGCTCTTCATAAATTGTTGTTATTAATCAGTTGTGAAGGCAGGGACAACACTACAGGCTCAGATGGGCGAGTGCGCAAGGCAGCTGTCTGAAGATGCAGTTAATCAGAGTTTCACCCAGATCATGTCCCCGTCTCTGCTGGGGAAGGAGATGCAGTGCTTACGCAGGGCGAAACAAACAGGAATTGTTTAAGAACATCAATAATCAAACAGCAGCAACTCAAAACACTTTTTTGCCTCTATATATAAGAATATATGTTCTTAGGACGTCCTCCCGACGTGAAATCCGCGATACAAATATAATTCTGCATTGTAATAAAAGAAAATACTGACCAGTTTTCTGAACCCAGCACGTCTGTGAGGTGTGAAGACTCCGCGCGCCCACAAAAGCTGCACGAAGTGCATGATGCGTGATCTACAAACAGAGGATTAAATGATTACTCTTACCCCAGATATGCATCCAGACAGCACTTTTCATTCACCAACATGCTGTTTTTGACTGTCCTCTAGGTCAGGGGAATGTAAGCCAACTTGGCTTTAAGGTGACATGTTTAGCAACTGGCAGGCAGTGTGTCTCGTTTGCTTCCTGATCTAGTCGGTTATGCAGTGCTCCAAGGCCCTCCTTAGGATAGAAACTTGCTCGTAAATATGACTTAAAGGGGCAGACCAGTCACTTGGGCCTGGATTTTTCCCGTACAGCTCGTTTTCCCTGCTAGCCAAAGCAAACGGACATGGTGGTCCCAGATGGACAAGCAGAGGAAAGCTTGCCGGACAGTAATATCAATGGTGACCTATGTGCTTTTAACTGGTTAAACTCCAGCAGTTACTCCAAATCATACTCTGGGATCCCCAAGTCTTGGCTCTCGTCTAATCTGTGTCTAATACTTTCTGGAGTTGGATACGCAGGGCGCAGCCCTCAAGTGTGTGCATTCTATTCCAAGCATTTCCATGTGTAGGTTTGAACATCTATGGAGTTCAGTCTGGTTTAGATCCCATTAATCATGCTGATGCGTATCCATGTGTCAGGCACACAACTGACCAAAAACAGTCAACAGCAGCCTTGCACCAACAACAACAAGATTACAAAGCGCCTTTCACGTCAGGAAGACCTCCCGAGGTGCTGGACAGACAGAGCTTTGGACCCGAGCTGGAAGTCGGGTTCGGGGAGAAAAAGCACAGAGGTCAAAAGCAGAGATCGAAAGCACGGTCGAAGAGGAGAGTCTTGATATGAGTCTTGAAGGTGGCAAGGGAGGAGGCGAGGTGGAGGGATGAAGGATGAAGTTCCAGAAGGCGCATCCGCCATTAGTAGGGCGAGCGAGGCGGAGGACATGAAATAGGCCAGAGCCCGTTGCGCGGAGGGAGCAAGCAGGATGGTAGGGGGTGAGGAGATCGCAGAATTATAGCAGGGAGCAAGACCATGGAGAGTCTTGAAGGTGAGGACCAGGATCTTGCACTGTGTGATGGATTGCACATATCAGTGTGCAAGCCTGTTACCATACAGCAACGTGATGCACCTGAGCTCAACTGTCTAGCTGATGATGTGGAAGGCGCTATACAAATGTAATTTGTTGTATAAATTTACTCACCAGGTAAATTTAAATGCTCTGAATCAGTTCAACTCATGGACCTTACAGACCAGCTTGAATCTGCTCTCAGTAACCTCCTCTCCAATGAGCCCGGAAAATACATTAGTTTGGATACAGCTAGAATGAGGATTGGGCCCGGCTGTGATGCCCCCACCAACACCAACACAGATTGACACCTCTGTGAGAAGAGGAAAAATTGCTCTCACCAATGACACTCCTGTCACTTGGACCATGTCCACATACCCAAAATGCTTTCTCACGAGAATCCCAACCTTGGGTGATAAAAATCTAGGTTCAACCCACTATCCAAATTCTAAACAACGAACACTAATACCTCACTCTCTACCTTGACACTTCAGTGAAACAGTCATGACAACATTGCCTGACCCTACAAGAACTTTGGGAATATTTTGAGGGGAAATGTACCTCAGCAACTGTTTAAACTGAATACTCAGAACAAGGTCACTACAAACCTCGTATGTCTTCAGCAAACAAATTCTGTAGCTTGCTTTGCAAGCGAGAGACCTGGGTTCGATTCCCAGCAGGGTGAAGACCTCGGGCAAGTTTCCTTACTCTACAATAATGCCTGATAATAATCCCTCAAGAAAAATAAAACAATAATAAATTGATCACTTCAAACCACGACTGTTTGTGGGACAATTCGCTGGCGCATTTCACCCTCAAATATACATTCAATTCACTTACAGTCTATTCTGTGACACGCTTTGAGACGTCTAGAGGATGTGAAAAAGCGCTATATCAAATGCAAGGATTATTATTATTATTACAAGTTTTGTTGCACTTGATGCACATGTCTTGACATATATCTTGTACAAATTAGCGAACTTGGATAATAGCAATGCAGGTCTTGACCTCATTAATCACTTGGACAAAGGACAATTAGCAAGACAATGGAGTAAGGAATATTTTATTGAATTACAAACTGTAAAGGAGAAAATGCACAACATCTCAGATTTACTATAATTCATTTTTAATCTCCAGTGTATTCTGATCAAAACCTGATCAAAAAAAAACTGCAATTGCCCTCTGATGTGAATGACAGCTGAAACCTCCACAGCCTTCAACCTGATACTGACCCACTGACACACGAAAAGCCTTTCTACAACATTCATTTCCTAGTGTTGTCTCGAATAATAATCCAAATGCAAAACCGATCTACCTGATCCAAAAGCAGCGAGAGAAATAACTCACACGGCACTGCAGAAAAATGGCTGCCATAGTTTAGTCACCAAATCGAATATATAATGACAGTTTAAATTAAGAAACACGTTCGACCGCAGTAAAGACAATCCTGAACGATACAAAAGCAAGAAATCAAAATGGACCTCTACAGCCAGAACTGAAGGCCTACAGAAAGACCGCCTGACCTTCAATCAGGAGACGTTGCCGTCAATCTGACTCCCAACACCGCAAAACACAGCGCACGGCCTGTGACTGCAGGTCACTGACGGATTTAAACCACAGGTCGAGACCCAAAACGATTTAGTGCGTTTCTAAACAGACGTGAAGACAGATCCGACTGAGGGGAAATGCTCCCTCCACCGCCGACCATTTATTTACCTGAAGCACAAAACCTGACCTTGATTATAGGTCGCCACCATATCTCGGATCGCCCTCCCCCACTCTTTTGAGCCGGAGGAGGACACGCAGTTCGACAACGCAAGACTGAATATTCCCAATTACACAAGACGCAAACCCAGGAATTCCTATCAAATATACACACATATACACACACACACACTGCGTGTATTTATATGCAACTCGCCGCCATAGTTCAACAACAACAACAACAACAAGATTGCGTTTGTACTTCACGCCTCAAAATACAGTCAGTTCACTTGGCGGTGCCGCTGTCTGGAGAGGTCTCGGCGACGCGCTGCGGCGGCTCTGCTCGAACGCGAGGCTTATTCCCGGGAAGCGCTCGGGAGACACCTCTCTCAACGGCGCCCCCCCCCCGATAAAAGGCGCCGTCTCAGCCGCACGGGTCGGCACCGCTGCACCGAGGAGGAAGAGAAATGCCAAACACAAATAAAACCTGAGGGGGTGTGTGTGTGAGCCAGAGAGAGGGCCCAGTGTGAACACAGGCTGCAGGGGGTGGGGTGGGGAGGGGGGGGGGTAGTGTGCACATGTGGAAGGGAAGGAGCTGAGTGACTGACTGACTGACTGACCTTCAAGTGGGACACGGCCTGGGAGCCGCTCCCACCCCCCACCCCGCCCTCCCCCTCCCAACTTATTTTTTTAATGAAACACATAGCATCTAATCGCTTTTCCAGCTGCCGCTGAGGGGTCGGAAGCGGCTGCGTCGAGCCTGAGGGCGTCGGTGAGGGGAGGACAGGCCCGCGGGCCGGACCGGACCGGACCAGACCGGGTGTAAAATGGCGGCCGCTGTCTCCCTCCCTCTCCCGCTCTCTCCCTCTCTCCGGCTTACTTGTTGGCAGCGGTGGCCGGGCAGCGAGCGCGCCAGGCTGGCGGCGATGCGGAGCGACTGCATGGCTGTGGTTGCTGGAGGAGGAGGAGGAGGAGGGGATGGTGCGGCCTGTGCTGGGGCTCTCGGTTGCTCTCCCGCCTCCCCGGCGCCTCTCCTGCAAATGGCGGCGGCGGCCGCGGCTGCGCGCCTCTTATACCCCGCGCGAGGTCGCCCGAGACCGCCCCAAAGGAGCCCGGGATGGTGCGCGAGGCCGACGGAAACCGCCCAAACGTTGCCCGTATGGAGCGCGAGACCGCCCCAAAGTAGCCCGACATTGAGCGTTGGATCACGTTGGGGCTACTTTGGTGGGCGGGTGGTGGGCGGGGGGGAGGAGGCAAAAAATATATATATATATATCGGTTCAGTCAGGGAATTGGGTGAGAGAAAAGGTCTTCAAACCGGGAAGAAGAAGAAGAAGAAAAAAAAGTGTGACGGGTTTTGATTTTTTAAACCGACCGGAGCCGTTGGAAGGGAAACCCGCCCAATCGGGCGTGAACCCGCCCAATCGGGCGTGAACCCGCCCAATCCGGTGACGTTGGTCGCCACCCACCCACTCCCTCCTCCTCCTCCTCCTCCTCCTCCCCGCCTCCCCCGCGCGTTACCATGGAGACGCTGGCCAGCCTGTCGCCATGGCAACCGGACACTCCCCCCCCCCCCCCATCCCCCCATCCCCATCGCTCACCAACACCAAAACCCAACACCAACAACAACAACTTGCACTTATATCGCGCCCTCCACACAGCGCTCAATAGTGGCGGAGCCTGACTCTGAGGCGGGGCGGGGGGGGGGGCGGCTCGGGGACGGGTGGGGGTGGCGGGGTGGGGGGTGGGGCGGGTGGCGGTGGGGCGGGTAGCGGGGGTGGCGGGGGGGTGGCGGGACGGGTGGGGGTGGGGGTGGCGGGTAGGTTTGGGGGGGGTGGGGGGGGAAAGCGGCCGTATCCCCCGGTCCAAGAGGAACGGGGAGTGAAATGGTCCGAAATGCTGTCACCGTCCAGCGCCTTGGGACGTCCTCCCGACGTGAACGGCGCTACCGCCCATGTAACACTTGTTGTTGTTGTTGTTGTTGAGGAGGTCGGAGAGACCGGGAGGTGCCCGGGAGCGAAGGGATTTGAACACGAATGTTGAAATATCACAACCTGAACGACAATAAGTTGCATTTATAAAGTGCCTTTCACCATCTCAAGACCCTTCTCTTCGATCACCCTCCTTCCCCCACTGCGCTCCCTGATCCCGACCCCCCCCCCCCCAGCTCTGGTCCAAAACACGGTTTGTCCAGTGCCTTGGGACATCCTCCCAATATGAAAGGTGCTATACAAATGTAGTTTTGTTGTCTTATTATTATGTTCTGTGAATCACAATAAGGTGTGAATCCTTTACTGCTCACTAGATGGGGCTGTGAGATGAATGAAATGAATTGAAGCCCAAGTTAAACACTCCCTCCTTCCATCCCCCAATTCCAAACTCCACCTTCGCTTAGCCTTAATGTCCAATGGCCAATGTCATCCTTAAGTCACCCTCATAACAACCTGGCACAGTCAGCAATATTTTTCCCTCTGAGTCAGTAGGTTGTGGTTCTGACCTCCCCACCCAACCATTTCAGCTCACAGTCCAAGCTAATAATACAATAATCCTTGCAGTTGATTTCGCGCCTTATCTTGATACTCCTCAAAGAGCTTCACAAGATATATTGTTAGGTGATTTGACTCTGGTCAAAGTGTGGCAGTCAGTTGTGCACAGCAGTATGCCACAAACAGTCATGGATTGAGTGACCACATTTTTTTGAGGGATTATTACACCCAGAAAGCAGCAGTGGACTAACAACCGGGTTCCTACTTATTGCGAGGTAAACAGAGGATGTGAAGTAAACAACTTGCGTAAGGTTTTACCCAGGATTTGAACCCGGGTCCTCCGCTTGCAAGGAATGTGCTCTAACCACTATACTAAGGGGCTCCATATAATGCTCCAGTGCCTATTGAGGGAGCACTGCATTGTTGCAGGTGTCATCCTTCAGATAAGATATTAAAAATTGAGATCCCATCGATGCCTGTGTATAGACGTTAAAAGATCCCATGGCGCTAATCTAAAAGTGAAGAGAGTTTCTCTCAATGTCTTAGACAACAATCCCCCAAACAAAATTGATAGAATCATAGAATCTTACAGCACAGAAGGAGGCCATTCAGCCCATCATGCCTGTGCCAGTTCTTTGCAAGAGCTTCCAACTCGTCCCAGTACCCCGTTCTTTCACCCATAAGGGATATGGGGCAAGGGCGAGTAATAATAATAATAATCCTTGCATTTGATATAGCGCTTTTCACGTCGGGAGTACGTCCCAAAGCGCTTCACAGAACACACTGTAAAGTGAATTGACTGTATATTTGTGGGCGAACGCGGCAGCCAATTGCGCACAGCAATGTCCCACAAACAGTCGTGGATTAAAAGTGACCAATTTATTATTGTTTTTGGTTTTGGAGGGATTATTATTGTAACTGGACTTGAGGTAGAGATCAGCCATGATCTTATAAAATGGCAGAACAGGCTCGAGGGGCTGAATAGCCTGCTCCTGTTTCTATCTTTCCAAAGCCTTAAAACTTTTTTTCTTTTCAGCATATATCCAATTTCATTTTGAAATCTATTATCGAATCCGCTTCCACCACCCTTTGAGGCATTGCATTCTAAATCTTAACAACTCGCTGTGTAAAAATATTTCTCCTCGTATCATCTCTGGTTATTTTGCCAGTTATCTTAAATAAAAGTATAAGATCATAAACATGTGCTTGGCGAAAGGAGACCAAGGTCCATCTGGTTCACCTTTGACCATCCTGACAGTCGCTTGACATGTCGTGTCCCAAACTTTGCAGTGTATTCTGAGATATTATTTTCTAGCAGAAATTTGTTCTTGAAACAAACAACATTTTCTGCTTCTCCCGAGGGAACCTGTTCCATAAGTTTACTGTTCACTCACTGAAGAAATGTTTCCACAGATTTTTGTTCTGAATTTATCCCCTTTAATCGCAGGCCGTGTCCGCTGGTTCTACTGTTCAGTACAAGATAAAACAGTTTATCATGGTCCACATAATCTATTCCCTTCAGAATCATAAAGATCATAATCATATAATCCTCAACTTTCTCTTCTCCAGTGTGAACCTGCCCAGTTTATCTAATCGCTCCTTATAGTCCAGTCCCTCCATCCTCTCAACCATTTTAGTTGCTCTCTGTATCCTCTCAATCGTTGCAATATCCTTTTTAAATCTGTATCCCTCAGTTACCAGACCAGCCCCCGGAGGAAACCGTTTCTCCCCATCTGCTCTGTCAACACCCCTCATAATTTTGAACACAATGATCATTCTTTAAAGCTGTTTACGGGACATTTGGCAAATTGGCTGATCTGTACCTCAACTCCAATTACCTCAACTCTCTGCACCTGACTCTCCTCCAGAGTGTTCGCAAAGTCCTGTTACACTCATACTTTTTCCCCTTTTGTGTCCTGACCAACAGCTGAAACATATGGAAGAATGACGATAATTGTATTTAGAAGTACTTTCATTGTATTCAGTGCAAGTGTTTAACTGTGTATAGACATCCAGAGGGTCAGTCTGAGTGAGTTTCACGGTAAATGTTCCGTTTCCAAGTTCGGTGCTTCACCTTCTGTAACGTGGAGAGAGTCGGTGAAGAGGAAATTGCTGGTGTCAGAGCTTGTTACGCTCGACTCATCTGCAACAGGAAATTAAAAAATCATTTTTAAAAAAAGAGGTAACGGGACTTTGTGTATGTGCTGTTTTTTTATGCAGACAGTTGTTGCCTGGACACGCACTCGGCCGGGGAACCGGACGGTGATAATGAACCAGCCCCTTCAATAAGAAGGAGAAAAAATAATCTTCTATCCACCTTCTTTATTATTATACTAATAAAACAATATTGTTTGGGTCTGTGCTTCAAAAAAGGATCTCAATAACCGATTGATGTACAGATATAATTTCTACCTCATCGGAACGGTCTTGCATCGAGGAGTGACATGGGCAGGTTTGAGGACAGGTCGGGTGGGTTGAGGAGGTGGAACCGCGGGACAGAAGACGTCGACGGGAGCCAAAGAGTATGGCATCTAATAATAATCCCTCCAAAAAACAAAACAATAATAAATTGGTCATTTTCAATCTATGACTGTTTGTGGGACATTGCTGTGCGCAATTGGCTGCCGCGTTCGCCCACAAATGTACAGTCAATTCACTTTACAGTGTGTTCTGTGAAGCGCTTTGGGACGTCCTCCCGACGTGAAAAGCGCTATATCAAATGCAAGGATTATTATTATTATTATTATTATCTGTCTTGTTGACGTTTAACAGACAAACTGACAGGACATCAGGGGATGGGGGTGGGGGACGGGGGCGGTGCAGCTGGAAAAGTAGAATGGAGACCCGAAAGATGCCCACGGAGCAGCGAAACCCAGCGACGCGACTCTTAGCGCTATGCCCTCTCCCTCGCCTGCGCCCTCTCCCTCGCCCGTGCCCTCGCCCGTGCCCTCGCCCTCGCCCGTGCCCGTGCCCGTGCCCGTGCCCGTGCCCTCGCCCTCGCCCGTGCCCTCGCCCATGCCCTCGCCCTCGCCCTCGCCCTCGCGTGTGCCCTCGCCCATGCCCTCGCCCTCGCCCGTGCCCTCGCCCTCGCCCGTGCCCTCGCCGGTGCCCTCGCCCTCGCCTGTGCCCTCGCCCTCGCCCGTGCCCTCGCCCTCGCCCGTGCCCTCGCCCGCGCCCTCGCCCGTGCCCTCGCCCTCGCCGAACCGAAAAAAACCTCTGCTCCCTCCCAGTCACGGTGACTCGGGGGCCGGATTCGGGCCGGAGGGTGGGATTCACGTGCGCGCGGTGGGGGCGGCGGTGGCGGAGGCCAACTGATGGGGAGTTTCTCCTCGGAGGGGGAAGGGGAGGGGAGAGGGGGGGAGGGGAGAGATAATTACACAGCAAAGAGAGTGACGAGGGGGGGGGGGGGGAGGTAGAGTGAGAGAGTGAGAGAGAGAGAGAGAGGCGGAGCAGCGACGACGCGGAGGGCGGAGCCGCAACATTGTAGCGCAGAAAGTAGCGAACGTCGCAACATTGTATCCGACACTGAGACCCTCTCCCTCACTCCCTCACTCACTCGCTATGGCGGATTGCGGCGTTATCACCTCCAAAACCGTCCTCCTCTTCCTCAGTCTGATCTTCTGGGTGAGTTTCCAGCTCTGCTGCTCTGTTTGCGGAGCTTTTAAATAAAAAAAAATAAAATAAAAATATATGTTTATATGTAGATATATATAAAGCCTTTTTTTTTTAATTTAAAAGCTTTTACATATATATATATATATAATGTCCCGCGGGACCTGTGATCGAGGGGTTCGCTTTCGATCCGAGTGTCGAATTGCTCCGAGAAAGATCCACGGACTCTGCGAGTAGAGAACTGAAGAGTTTTGTGGTACTTTTTCTCTCTCTCTCTCTCTCTCTGTGTGTGTGTGTGTGTGAGTGGGTCTGAGCTCCAGATGTGTGTCCAGTTGTGTGTGTGGGGGGGGGTCTGAGCTCCAGATGTGTGTCCAGTTGTGTGTGTGGGGGGGGGTCTGAGCTCCAGATGTGTGTCCAGTTGTGTGTGTGGGGGGGTCTGAGCTCCAGATGTGTGTCCAGTTGTGGGGGGGGTCTGAGCTCCAGATGTGTGTCCAGTTGTGTGTGTGTATGGGGGGGGGGGGTCTGAGCTCCAGATGTGTGTCCAGTTGTGTGTGTGTGGGGGGGGGTCTGAGCTCCAGATGTGTGTCCAGTTGTGTGTGTGTGTGGGGGGGGAGTCTGAGCTCCAGATGTGTGTCCAGTTGTGTGTGTGTGGGGGGGTCTGAGCTCCAGATGTGTGTCCAGTTGTGTGTGTGTGGGGGGGTCTGAGCTCCAGATGTGTGTCCAGTTGTGTGTGTGTGTGGGTCTGAGCTCCAGATGTGTGTCCAGTTGTGTGTGTGGGGGGGTCTGAGCTCCAGATGTGTGTCCAGTTGTGTGTGTGGGGGGGGGGTCTGAGCTCCAGATGTGTGTCCAGTTGTGTGTGTGTGTGTGGGGGGGTCTGAGCTCCAGATGTGTGTCCAGTTGTGTGTGGGGTAGGGGGTCTGAGCTCCAGATGTGTGTCCAGTTGTGTGTGGTGGGGGGGGGGTCTGAGCTCCAGATGTGTGTCCAGTTGTGTGTGTGTGGGGGGTCTGAGCTCCAGATGTGTGTCCAGTTGTGTGTGTGGGGGGGTCTGAGCTCCAGATGTGTGTCCAGTTGTGTGTGTGGGGGGGGTTCTGAGCTCCAGATGTGTGTCCAGTTGTGTGTGTGTGGGTGGGGGGGTCTGAGCTCCAGATGTGTGTCCAGTTGTGTGTCTCTCTCTCCGCTTTGTTGGGACCTCTCTCTCTTTTCGGTAACTTTCTCGTTGTGGAACTGGTTTTGGGTTATCAATGAACTCTCAAATACCTGTGATTTGTTTTTCGAGACAAAAAAATGTGAGTTTTTCCTTCTTAAAACTGGATGTATTTGTCCCCCCCTCTCCCCCCCCCATCCCATCCCCCCCCCCCCCCCATCCCATCCCCCCCAGTTGTTCACTCACTGGACTTTCCTCTGTTAGTTGATGAGTCAACTAGAATTGCAATTTTTTTTTCCAAATTACTCGTTGTCTCAAATAGAGACAAATTGAACTGTTGCCCCACCCCTGAGAGAGAGAGTGAGTGTGAGAGAGACTGAGTTTAGTGTGAGAGACGAGGGCACACTTTATCACACCAGCTGTTACACGCTCTCCAAGATGTTACCTACCTACCTACCTGCCCGTACCCTCCGTTCCTCTGGCTCCGGTCTGCTCCACGTCCCCCGCCCCAACCGCCCTACCATCGGTGGTCGGGCCTTCAGCCTCTCAGCCCCCAGGCTCTGGAACTCCATCCCCAGTGCCTTCGCCGCCTCCTCCCTTTCCTCCTTCAAGGCCGGTCTCAAACCTTTCTCTTTGACCGTGCCTTCAGCTCCCCTCTCGACTCTCTTCCTCCTCCTCGCTCCTCCCTTCCTCCCCTCACCATTTCCCCCCTCCTCTCTCCCTCCCTTCCCTCCCCTCACCCTGACCATTTCCCCCCTGCTCGGGTCATGACGCAACTGTGCAGCGCCTTGGGACGTCCTCCTGACGTGAAAGGCGCTTTATAAATGGAATCTTGTTGTTGTTGTTACCCCAATGGTTGTGTCCCAGTTTCTTGGCCAAAAATCCTCCAGATCTGTGGCTGTGGCACTCAATCACTAAACAACACTCTGTGCCTTTTGCAGGAAGTGCTTTCAGATGTCTGGTCTGATATGAAAAGGTGCTTTAGACAAAAATAAGGTTTATTACGCTGACTAATGTGAGGAGGGGGACTGTGTTTGTGGTCACCCCACCCCTCCAGCTCGGTGTCAGGCGTTGCAGCTGTTAAGCGCTCTGAGACGCTGCCGGGGCTGAGGGGCGCTGCGTAAATGCACGTTGTTGCTGTAGTTTTCTGTGAAGTTCCGTGAGGCAAATAACACTCTGGGATATAGGTAGTTTGGGACATATGTGCAAGCGACCACCTGGAAGGTGAACCTTGTCCTCTTTCCGTCTGGCATTTCTTACGGTGTTAAGATGGAATCGTAGGAACAGGTGGAGGCCATTCAGCCCAACAAGTTAATGATGCTTTCTTAATCGGATAAACGAGGGGAGAAAATTGGGTTTAAATTCTCTCTGCTTTCCTGCTGTCTTTGTTCCAAGTTGGAAGGCGACCGAGATGGATTTTTTTTTGTGTAGCATTTCTTGTGAGGCATGCGAACTAATACATGGTACTGTTTAAAAAAAAAATGCAATACAAGTTTCTCTTTAACCAGTTTTTATTTTAAGGAAGATTAAATAGTGCTTTATATAATCTCTTCCCCACCCCTCCCCCCAAAACACACATCCACACAATTGCAAGCTCAGCAGAATGCACGACTTCTGCATTTTTTTAAAAAAAAACCCTCAGGAAGTAAGTACAATATGAATCACACTGATCCATATGATCTGGACTCTCTTTTGCTCCTACCAAGATGCTTGTTTTTCAAGGAAAAAAAAACCTTGGATCTACTTTCTGATGGTTTAGTCTTGTGTGTGTGTGTGTATGTGTGTGTGTTGAGGGTGGGGAGGGCAATGAACCTCTTCAGGGTTGACTGACTCAAAGCCTGACTGCTGTGCTGGAGCATTGGTCGCTGCCCGACTTATTATCACTTGTATCATCTTGTTTGCAATTGGCAGCTGTGTTTTGCCCACAAAATGCAGGCAATTCGCTTTACAATATATTCTGCAAAGTGTTTTGACATGTCTCAGCCGTGTAATGAAACACTATGTAAAATGTAAATATTATCAGTGAAAGTCCCCCTTTTCCCTCCCTGGTTCTGAGACGGCTTGTGAAAAACTGCTATTGTCATTTGGCTCAGTTGGCAGCGCTCTCGCCTCCTGAGTCAAAAGCTTGCGGAGCATTTACCCCCCCCCCCCCCCCCGACATAATATCCCTCCTCACTGGATCTTTCTCCGTAGTCCCTTCTCGCCTTGTTCTTTCTCTGCCTTCAAAGCCCTCTGTAATAGCACATTTGGTCAAAGCAAAGGTTTTTGTTGTTTTTCTCTCCTGTTTCTGTAAAGCATGTTAACATGTGATGTGAAATTTGGTCCGTTTCCTGAGTAATCTCAGCCAAGTAGCTCTGCCTGTTATTCCAGGCTGTTCCCCCAACATTGTTCTGTTCCTGTGGGATAAAAGATCCCCGATGGAGCCTTGCCAACGTGCCATGTTCCGTGTGACCCAGTCGCTGTGGGTTTGTCATCCAGCCATGGTCCGTCCTTCAAATGAGACATTAAACCGAGCTCCTGTCTCCCTGTTCAAGTGGATGTTAAAGGTCCCTTGGTACTATTCGAAAAGAGAAGTGAGTTTCTCCCTTCCAATGTCCTGGCCAACAATCCCCCAGATAAATTTGGTCACTCACTTCATGCCTGTTAGTGTGACATTGCTGTGCGCAACTGGCTGTTGCATTTGGCTCACAAACTACATAGTCACTACATTTTACATTATACCCTGTGAAGTGCTTTGAGATGTCTCAGCGATGTGACAGCAGTCCCCCACAAACTGTCATGATTGAGCTAACCATCGCGCTACAGGTCTCCACTGCTAGGCAGTCATGCAATTGTGAAGTGTTGGACTTGGTCAGACTAAACTGAGATTTCCGTTCATCCCACATGGAAACTCCAGATACATTATTGGAATGGAATGGCTCTCTCTCCCTGGAGGGATGCATCCTGCTTGCCTAATTCCAAAGAGTTTTAGGCGCAGGTTGGTAGAAGCCATGGCTTGGGAGACCCCAAAGTGGAGTCTAACCAGCTAAAACCGCATAACTTGCTTGATATCGCTGTCTGGCAAGCTTTCCTTGTTCCTTGTGTTTGATATCGCACTTTATTACATCAGTGAGGTGTCTAAAAGCACTTCACAGGATATACTGTAAAGATTGGCTGGGTGTTTGGTGAACAAAATGTGGTAGCCAGTTGCACACAGCAGTGTCTCACAACCAGCCACAGAGCGAGTGACTCATTTTTATTTGGGGAGAGAGAAACTCCGTTCTCTTCAAATAGCACTGTGGGGATCTTAACCATGTACAGGCAGACAAGACCTCGGTTTAATGTCTCATCCAAACGACAGCACTTCCAAGAATGCAACACACCACCAGCTTTGCAGTGAAGCTTAAACCGTGGGACTTGAACCTACAACCTTCTAATTCTGAGGCAATTAATAAATTAACAAGTGAATGAAGAACAGAAATTGGCCCAACTAGTCCGGGCTGTTTTACTGAGGAGCAGTGGGGTGATTCCCTCTTAAGAATCTTCGTGCTGCGAGTTATCTGACAGGACTCAGTGATCAGCCGCTCTGTGTAACATGTGGGACGGGCAGCCCAGGAGGAAGGTGCTTACTCCCAAGCCTCTCTCTCTCTCTCTCTCTCTCTCTCTCTCTCTCTCCACGTGTCACAGGCCTAGTTTGGCACAGTGACTACATTAGCTTGTTTACAGGCTCGGCTTGTAGTGAGAGCCACACGCAGCAGCTAAACAATGAGGCTTTTCTGACAATTGTTCCTTTTTTTTTAATGAAACGTTTACAATAGCATTGATTTCAGCAAATCTCTGGGCAGTGTGTCTGACGCAATACGGAAACACATTGCCATGCTTCAGAATT